TTGGGGTTGGGGCCTTGCGGCTGGGACCTTGTGGCTGGGGCCTTGTGGCTGGGGCCTTGTGGTTAGGGCCTTGGGGCTGGGGCCTTGGGGTTGGGGCCTTGCGGCTGGGACCTTGTGGCTGGGGCCTTGTGGCTGGGGCCTTGTGGTTAGGGCCTTGGGGCTGGGGCCTTGGGGTTGGGGCCTTGCGGCTGGGACCTTGTGGCTGGGGCCTTGTGGCTGGGGCCTTGTGGTTAGGGCCTTGGGGCTGGGGCCTTGGGGTTGGGGCCTTGCGGCTGGGACCTTGTGGCTGGGGCCTTGTGGCTGGGGCCTTGTGGTTAGGGCCTTGGGGCTGGGGCCTTGGGGTTGGGGCCTTGCGGCTGGGACCTTGTGGCTGGGGCCTTGTGGCTGGGGCCTTGTGGTTAGGGCCTTGGGGCTGGGGCCTTGGGGTTGGGGCCTTGCGGCTGGGACCTTGTGGCTGGGGCCTTGTGGCTGGGGCCTTGTGGTTAGGGCCTTGGGGCTGGGGCCTTGGGGTTGGGGCCTTGCGGCTGGGACCTTGTGGCTGGGGCCTTGTGGCTGGGGCCTTGTGGTTAGGGCCTTGGGGCTGGGGCCTTGGGGTTGGGGCCTTGCGGCTGGGACCTTGTGGCTGGGGCCTTGTGGCTGGGGCCTTGTGGTTAGGGCCTTGGGGCTGGGGCCTTGGGGTTGGGGCCTTGCGGCTGGGACCTTGTGGCTGGGGCCTTGTGGCTGGGGCCTTGTGGTTAGGGCCTTGGGGCTGGGGCCTTGGGGTTGGGGCCTTGCGGCTGGGACCTTGTGGCTGGGGCCTTGTGGCTGGGGCCTTGTGGTTAGGGCCTTGGGGCTGGGGCCTTGGGGTTGGGGCCTTGCGGCTGGGACCTTGTGGCTGGGGCCTTGTGGCTGGGGCCTTGTGGTTAGGGCCTTGGGGCTGGGGCCTTGGGGTTGGGGCCTTGCGGCTGGGACCTTGTGGCTGGGGCCTTGTGGCTGGGGCCTTGTGGTTAGGGCCTTGGGGCTGGGGCCTTGGGGTTGGGGCCTTGCGGCTGGGACCTTGTGGCTGGGGCCTTGTGGCTGGGGCCTTGTGGTTAGGGCCTTGGGGCTGGGGCCTTGGGGTTGGGGCCTTGCGGCTGGGACCTTGTGGCTGGGGCCTTGTGGCTGGGGCCTTGTGGTTAGGGCCTTGGGGCTGGGGCCTTGGGGTTGGGGCCTTGCGGCTGGGGACACTCCCGGGCACACAGCGCTCGGCAGAGGAGGAGCCCGGGAGCTGCAGACAGCGGGTCCCCGAGCACTGACTCCGCTTCGGGTAGGGAGGGCTGTGCCTCTTAACCACAGAGCCAGCGAGGACAAAACTCCTTGGACAAACGTTTTCCTAAATTAGAAGCTAGTAAACAATAAAGTAAGACCCGAAGCAGGGAGGCATGGGACAGACTGACATACCTTGATGTGGGGTTGGGGGGACCAGAAGAGATAAACCAAAGAACTTGTAGACCAGAGGCTCTCAGCCTGTGGGTCGAGACCCCTTTGGGGGTCGAACGACCCTTTCACAGGGGTCGCCTAAGACCATCGGAAAACACATATATAATTACATATTGTTTTTGTGATTAATCACTATGCTTTAATTATGTTCAATTTGTAACAATGAAAATACATCCTGCATATCAGATATTTACATTACGATTCATAACAGTAGCAAAATTACAGTTATGAAGTAGCAACAAAAATAATTTTATGGTTGGGGGTCACCACAACATGAGGAACTGTATTAAAGGGTCGCAGCATTAAGAAGGTTGAGAACCACTGCACTATAACCTCTGAGCCTCAGTTTCTTCGTCTGTAAAGTGGGAGGGGGTAGAGTAACAGTGTCTATCTGTGCCCAGTGCCTGAAACACCTGACTGATAGGAGGAGCTCAACAAATAGTCACCTGGAAGGTGACCTGGAGTGAATACAGACTTAGACCAAGATTTTCTTGAACATTGTAAACTTAATTCATTTTAATCTCTGCATGCCCCGTGACCCTAGCACAGGACCGGCACAGGACTGGTGCGGGAGAGCACTTGCTGGGAGAGTTGGAAGCAGCCATGGATGGGCAAGTGGGCACAAAGATGTGTGCACGGGTGGGTGGATGGACAGGCATGTAGCTGGATCAATGATGGATGGAGAAGTCGGACATCTGGGTGTATAAATGTGTGCTAAGTGGGGGAGGAGGAGCCCGGGAGCTGCAGACACGCGGGTCCCCGAGCACTGACTCCGCTTCGGGTAGGGAGGGCTGTGCCTCTTAACCACAGAGCCATCGAGGACAAAACTCCTTGGACAAAAGTTTTCCTAAATTAGAAGCTAGTAAACAATAAAACGAGACCCAAAGCAGGGAGGCATGGGACAGACTGACATACCTCGAAGTGGGGTTGGAGGGACCAGAAGAGATAAACCAAAGAACTTGTATATCAGCGGTTCTCAGCCTGTGGGTCGAGACCCCTTTGGGGGTCGAACGACCCTTTCACAGGGGTCACCTAAGACCATCGGAAAACGTGGTGAGGCGAGCTAATCGGGGGTGCAGCTGGCTGGGGGAAAGGGAAGGGGCGTTTAGCCAACAGGCCCCTTAATTGGGGTGGGAGAGTCCGATCAGGGGCAGGCCGGCAGGGGGGAGGGGCCACGAGGTTGGCCGGCCAGCCCCACCCCCTAATCATGCTGGTTCGCTGGCCACAGTGGGCATCATAGCGATCGGTCGTTATGGTCGTTATGGCCCTTCTGGTCGCTGGCTTTTTATGTATATAGATATGCATAGCCATGGACACGGGCCATAGGGTGGGGAAGACGTCGGGGGTGGTAGGGGTTGGGAGGAAGCGGGAAAACGGGGCTGTCGGGAGGAGGAGATGGTGGGAGGTTGGCCGGCTGGCCGGCCCTCCCCAATAGGCCCATCAGGGCCAGGCCAGCTGGGGGAAGGGGCCACAGGCTAATTGGCTGGCAGGCCCCACCCCTGATTGGGGTGGGGGGGTTGCCAATCAGGGCCAGTGGCCTGGGGTAGGGGCCATGGGTAATTGGCGGGCTGGCCCTGCCTCTGATCAGGGGGGGGGGCCAATCTGGGGTGGAGCCGGGCAGGGGGAGGGGCTGCAGGAGTTGGCCGGCCAGCCCCACCCCCTAATCATGCTGGTTCGCTGGCCACAGTGGGCATCATAGCGATCGGTCGTTATGGTCGTTATGGCCCTTCTGGTCGCTGGCTTTTTATGTATATAGATATGCATAGCCATGGACACGGGCCATAGGGTGGGGAAGACGTCGGGGGTGGTAGGGGTTGGGAGGAAGCGGGAAAACGGGGGAGGAAATGGGAGACCTCTGTAATACTATCAACAACAAAAAAATATATTTAAAAATTAAAAACAAATAAAGCGAGTAAACAAACATACTCCCTGGTGCTCAATGCCATTTGCTCAAACAGGAAGTATCATTTTAGAAATAAGAACTGTAGGTGCAGTGTGGGGCTTCCTCCGCTGCTCAGGAACTGGCCAAGGTGAGCCACACACACCTTCTCCCACAGGCAGAGCAACCACAGGACGCGCATCCTCAACCAGAGCTGAAGACCCGCGGCTTGTACACGAGCCAGTCTGGGTGCTCTGGCTCCGCTTCACACACAGGAAGGCAGGATGGGAGATGGTGAAGGAGAGGAGCCTTCCAGGGGGAGCACAGCAGAAGCGTGGTTTGTGGCGATTAAAACTCTCCTCGATAAACCACTGCAGAGGATATTCAGCAAAACGACCCCATTTCGCAGCTAAACTACCTCTGCCTTTAGTGACGAGGGGCTTGGTGAATCCCTAGCATCTTAAATCATGTTGGGGAAGGGGAATGTGCACCATAAAAAGTAATTCTGAAATAACACCAAGCTAAATACACTGGGATTCTGAATATGTGTTCATTTTGCTCAAAAAATAATTTTTACTATGTATTTGGCACACATTATAGAACACCTCAGGTGAGGCCCTTAATTTATGGCCTTTCATTTTGGTAAATATTTGGATTTTTAGGACAAAATAGTCTTTTATCCTCATATTTCTATAAAGGTAAATAAGTATTAAAATGTAAAACTGTACTTTGCCACGTCACCTTATAAGTAAATATAGAGATAAATAAGCATTAAAATATTTTCTGCTTATGTCACACCAAAACAAAGTCAAAATTGGTCTTTATTTGATATGCTCGTTACTGAATTTTTCTTTCTAAATTTAAAAGATAATTTGACTTTATACACTCCTTATATAGATTGGCCTTTTTAAAAACACACATATTTCCCATATGTAAGTAAACATGCTTTATTATAGAGATAAGGTTGAGCCATACTTCTGAGGACATAACCAATTACAATTCTACTTTCTCTGTTAAAATGCAAATTGGCTATTTTTTAAAGTGCTTTATTATTGCCATAGAATAAATCCTGAGTTATAATAATAAACAAATTCACCTAAAACTTAAAAGACAAACATCTTTGAAGCATTTTATTTTCTAGAAATCCCAAATTCTTCCGTCTACATATTTATTCAACTTAAAGGACAATTTCTTTTTGTTACACAGGACTATTGTTCAGATATCAGATTAAATTTCAAGACAAGACATATTAGAGAATCTAATTAAATCCCAACTATAAATAGAGTAGCAATGTGACAATGACGAAGCCCAGTGTTTGACCAGGATGCTCTGTGTCTGATTAGTAAAGACTTAAGAAGGAATCACAGTCACCTCATAGGGATGTGGTGACTGTGAATGAAATGACTGATACAAAGCCCTTCACACAGCACCTGGCACAGGGAGGCTCAGAGAACGGTGATGAAGTGGACTGTCATCCTAAGACAGACCTTGGGTTGACTTCAGGCAAAGCTCAACCAAGACCATGCAAACTAGCGACGCCCCGTGAAACAATGAAGCACCATGGTAGCTGAACCCCAAATGTGTGGAGGAGGCCAGCACAAGTGACATTTCCTGTGGGCCTGTCTGATATTTCTGAGTTTTCAGCCGAGTTTGCTTTTGACCAATACAGCACAACCTGGCCATGCAGAATGGGAAACTGGACGGAAGCCCCTCAGAAGGGGGGTCACAGCAAGCCCCCTTCACTCCTCCCAACACCCCGGACCCGAGGAGCCCCCCGAATCCAGAAAACATTGCACCAGGTAACTCGGCGCCTTACAGATAGAACCATAAAGTCGCTGTGCATTGAAATGTGTGGCTCAGGTCACGTGGATCCTTAGTAAATGGTATCAGAGTGGGACCGCTGGTCTCATTATGGTCAAAACGGGCAAAGGCAGGTTTACATGAGTGAGTACAAGCAACACAGAGATTATCCTTGTGTTCTTATTTATTATTGTATTTTCCACATGAAAAAGAACTGTAGGCCTACTCTTGTAGACTCACCCCACGTCGGTGTGTGGGTCAGTCTGAGGTCAATGTAAAACGGAGACCTGGGGGGGCCTGCAGGGACCACCAGCGGCCTCGTGTCTTGCAGATGGCTCACTGTATTGGCTGGCAACCACCTGTTACGTTCTTATCCTTGTGTTTTTATTTATTAATTATTGTATTTTCCACATGGAAAAGAACTGTAGGTCTACTCTTGTAGACTCACCCCACATCGGTGTGTGCGTCAGTCTGAGGTCAATGTAAAGACGGAGACCTGGGGGGGGCCTGCAGGGACCGCCAGCGGCCTCGTGTCTTGCAGATGGCTCACTGTATTGGCTGGCAACCACCTGTTACGTTAAACATTAAGTCTTTTTGTATAAATCTGTACAGTCCATGGAGTGCAATGACATATATTTGTCTTCCTTAATGTCACAATAACTCCCTGACACTTTACTACAGTCTGCACTTTACAAATTAAGACACGGAGGTTGCGAACGGCTATGTGTCAATAGTGACTGATGAAGAATGACATCCGGGTCTGGTTCCAGATCTACAGTCACGGGGCCATTACGTCTCTGGGTGAAAACAAACTGGGGGAAACACACAGAAATCACCCACTGTGTTGAGTAGTGGGATTTTAAGAAACTTAAGAAAGTATGAAATTTTTAAATGTCCGGTCTCCGCACGCCTGACCTCTGGTCAACTGTAGGAGGAACAGGAAATAAGATGGGGGGGGGTGTGACAATGGAGCGCTGAATCCCACACCAAGGACAGACAGCAGAGGCGAGTCTGTCCCAGTGGCCACAGAGCGGTCATCTCACGCCCAGGCTTCTGCAGGGCCTGGCGGGTGAGGAGGGCGAGGGCGGGCCCAGGAGCACAGGGCAGGGGAGGGGGCGTGGGGGACCCGCTTCGGGCAGAGCCCGGGTTGGAGCACAGACATGAGGACCATGCCAGGAGGCGAGGCTGCATGGGGGGTGGGGACAGGCGTGCCATGCTGGGTCGCTGAGATTTTCATCCTGGGGAGTGAGTGACACGGTCAAGTTTTCCGGTCGTAGGTCCTGGGGCAGCAGTGTGGAGGGTTCCCGGGAGGCGGTGGGGAGCCAAGGGTGAACGTGAAGGCTGCTGGGAAAGGCCAGGCAGCAGAGGGGCAGGGCCTGGCCAGGGCAGGCGTGAGGGAAATGCGGACGGAGGGCATTTTCTAGAGCAGTTTCCCCAGGTTCCCTCTGCAGATCCCGTGCGTGAGATGTGTAAGCCACCCCTGGGGTGACTGCAGCCAGGTCTCTGGGGGGGAAAGCCCTCGACATTGGGGTCCCTCCGGCATTTGAAGTCGGTGCCGAGGGAAACGGTCTGGGAGCCGCTATATTAGAACTCCTTCAGGGGCGCAGCTGGCATCACTCAGCGGCCTGTGGGAACGCGGCGGCTGGGGATACTGCTCTGTCTTGGGCATCGAGGGTAGAGGGATGCCGTGTGCTGAGAGTGGTTCTTCTGAAAACGTTCCACGCGGAAAAGAAGGAGCGGGTGTGAGAAAGGCCCCGAGGTCCCCGGACTGGGGAGTACAGGAGGTGCTGGAACAGAAGGGCCCAGAGATCAACTCAAACCTTGGAGTCACCCCGTGAGAGCCAGGGTGGAGAGGAAACGCCCTGGGCAGGATGATGGGTACGAATGAAGAGCTCCGAGGGACAGCAGGAGAGGGTGGCGAGCCGAGAAAAGACGCCCACAGAGAGGGGCTCCTCTCAGCAGCTGGGAACAGTCAGAGAGGATGCAATTACTGCACCAAAGGTGACCGATCAGCGTAAAGGGAGGGCAGGCAGTTTGACAGAGGAGACAGGGCAGTTAGCAACAGGAAAGAGCGTTGGGACCAAAAGCAGGAGGCTGCAGTGGGAGGCCTGGGTGCAGGGCCCGGGGAGGCCTGTGGAGGTCTGGGGAGGCCTGGGTGCAGGCCCTGGCTGGGGAGGAGAGACCTGCAGGAAGGACACGGCAGGTAGTGGTTGTGGATGGAGAGTGCGGGGCTCTGCCATGAGGACTTGGAGCGGGCCACTCAGTGCATGTGCCAGCGGTTTAGTCCAGTGATGGCGAACCTATGACACGCGTGTCAGAGGTGACATGCGAACTCATGTTTTTGGTTGATTTTTCTGGTTAGAGACGGGAAAGAGCGTTGGGACCAAAAGCAGGAGGCTGCAGCGGGGGGCCTGGGTGCAGAGCCTGGGGAGGCCTGGGTGCAGGGCCCGGGGAGGTCTGGGTGCAGGGCCCGGGGAGGTCTGGGTGCAGGCAGGGCCCGGGGAGGCCTGTGGAGGTCTGGGGAGGCCTGGGTGCAGGCCCTGGCTGGGGAGGAGAGACCTGCACAAAGGACACGGCAGGTAGTGGTTGTGGACGGAGTGCGGGGCTCTGCCATGAGGACTTGGAGCGGGCCACTCAAGTGCATGTGCCAGCAGTTTAGTCTATGCAGAGCTGCAGTGAGGGTTAAGTGGCACTCACAGACGTGGTCTGCTCCTGCGAGAGGAGTGGGCGAGGCGAGACCAGCTGCAGAGAGTCAGGGACAACGTCGAATGGGCCTGGGAAGACCAGGCCTCCCCAGGGGGTGCAGACACAGCCCTCCCCGCGCTGAAGCCTGAGCAGCTCAGTCAGCACGTGAGGAGACAAGCCCCTACATTTCTCCCAACACATCAGCCAGGACAGGGACACTGTCTCCCCCGCTGCTTCCTGAGCCCAGACCACAGCCCACACTCAATGCGTATTTTCAAATCAATCCCGAACGGTGATAGCGAGATCCCAGTGCAAAAAGGCAGGGGCCCGGGTTGAAAAATCAAAGGCGTAGCTACATGGACAAGTACACCCTGAGGTGGGGGATCCTCAGAAAATCCCTTTAGGGGGCGTAGCCTGTCCACCACATGAGGCTGCTCATTCCGAGAGGTGGGGACAGGGCCCTTCTTCAGGGGTGACTGCATGCCGCGCAGGGGCAATGGCAGGGGGGCGTCCCGCTCAGGCTCTGCACTCACTCCTCGCTGTGTTTTCCCGAAGATCCTCAGAAAATCCCTTTAGGGGGCGTAGAAGTGGGGACAGGGCCCTCTTTCAGGGGTGACTGCATGCGGTGCGCAGGGGCGATGGCAAGGGGTGTCCCGCCCAGGCTCTGCACTCACTCCTCGCTGTGTTTTCCCGAAGGCTACTCCGGGCCCCTGAAGGAGGTCCCCCCGGAAAGATTCAACACCACAGCCGTCCCCAGGTCCTACCAGTCGCCGTGGGAGCAGGCGGTCAGTGACCATCCAGAGCTCCTTGAGGCGCTGTACCCCAGGCTGCTCACGCCCGAAGGCAGGGCAGAGCTGCCCGATTACCGCAGCTTCAACAGGTAATCGCGGGGTGCGGGGCGCCCTGGGGTATGGGCGGCCGGACTCTGTGCCCTGCAGGGTCTGGGAAATCTTCTGATAGAAACCCCGAGGCCTGGGGGTGCTGGGAGGAGGGTCCAGGGACTCCAGGCTTCTGTTGGGACTCTGAAGGCTAGCCGTTGGAACGAAGGTGAATGCGGGCTCTGCCAGTGCTCATGAAAATAAATGCTTGTGCCCATCCACACAGTCCTGGATTGGATAATGGTTGCCTCCTTAAATCAAACTGCCTGCCACGGACCAAGATGGCACCACCGAGAGGCTCAAATGATCTCTACAATGTTCATACACGATGCTCACCAGTCAACCCAAAGTGACCAGGCCTGACCATGAGACAAGACCAAATGACTACAATTGAAGAGAAAGACAATAAACAACACAGACAGAAAAGATCTGACACTCACTTTAAAGTAATTGTGAGGAACATGTTCAAGAGAAGAGATGACAAAAATGAAGAATTCCAGCCCATTGGGAATGGTTTCCAAAAAGGGTCAAATGGAAACTCTACAAAAAAACAAAAATACAGCCACTGAAATTGAGAAGTCAAAGTGCTAAGTCCTGGACCCATATAAAATCTGCAGGAAATACAGAGGCCAGAGAAATGCCAACATTCACTGAGAGAGAGAGAGAGAGAGAGAGAGAGAGAGAGAGAAATCAGTACAGGTCGGTCTGTGGGACACACAACCCAGTGTCTTCAGTAATAAATTGCGGGGAAGGATGAGAGGGACATCTGTGGCATAAAAACGGTTTGAAAGAGAGAATTCTGAAAGACAGGCAAAACTAAACCACTATACTTAGACACGCACACTTGGGTTATTACCATAGAAAGAAGGTGTTTGTTGTTTGTTTTTTTAATATATTTGTATTGATTTCAGAGAGGGAGGGAGATGGGAGAGATAGCAACATCAATGAGGAGAGAGAATCATTGATCAGCTGCCTCCTGCACGCCCCCATCTTGGGGATCCAACCTGCAACCTGGGCACATGCCCTTGATTTGAGCCGAACCTGGGACCCTTCAGACCACAGGTCAACGCTTTATCCACTGAGCCACACCAGCAAAGGCACCATAGAAAGAAGGTTTTTAAAAACATTTTGTAAGTTGCTATTGTCCTGAAAGTCAAAACACCGCCGAGCCCTGGGCAGGCGAGGGCTGATTGGCAGGACACGCGATGCTCCTGTAGGGACTCAGCATGGGCACCAGTGACAAGGCGGCTCGCTTTAGAATCAGCTTCTGTGCCTGCCTATGAGGTTTCTGTACTCGTGTTATATTCAGGGATGGAAATGTTTTTAACAAGTAAAGAAACAGATTTCATGGCAGACTGAACAGAGCGGGAGGGACTCAGAGACTGATGTGGACAGTGTGCAAAGTGGAGCAGAGGAGACGACGGGTTCCCACTGCAGGGGAAGAGCAGGAGACACACTTGGCAGTGAGGGTGCCAGCATACGGGTGTGATTAGAGGCTCGGGAGGGAATAAGAGAGAATAAGGCAGAAGCCATCGCTGAAGAATTCATGGCCCAGGAATTTTCAAAATTGACAAAACACATCAGGCCTCAGATTCAAGAAGTACTATGTGACCCAGTCAACCATGTGGTGGCAACCACGCAAAGGCACAGGGCTGCCAATCAGCGGAAAACCAAAGACTATGGGAACATCTTAAAGCTCATGGAATAACGCCTTTAAAATTATGAAATAAACTAGTGGCCCGTTGCACAAAGATTTGCGCAATAGGCCTTCCTTCCCCTGGCTGCCAGCACCGGTTTTCCTCTGGCACCCGGGACCCAGGCCTTTGGTCCGGCCGCAGCAGCGAGGCTTGGCTTCTCTGCTCCAGCTGCTCCCAGCCCCTCCTTTTTTTTTTTCCAGCTCCTCCAGCGGAGCCCAGGGTGGACTGGAAGCCTGGGTTGCCCCTGGAGACCCAGGCCCCCAGCCTGTCCTTGAGCAGAGTACAGGGCAGGCGGGAAGCTTCGCTTCCTCCATTGCTGGGAGCAGCCCAAGCCTCCTGCTTGCTCCAGCTCCATGGCCGCCGCCATTTTCAGTCATCTTCAGTCTTCGCTCCGCGCCTGCATATGCAAATTAACCGCATCTTTGGTGGGTTAATTTGCATAGTCGCTCTGATTGGCTGGTGGGTGTAGCAGAGTGGCGGGGTGATGGTTAATTTGCATGTTTCTCTTTTATTAGTGTAGATAATGGCCTGCCTGTAAGTCTATATCCAGTAACAATACTCTTGAAAGGTAAAAGTTAAAATAAAAACATACAGGCATGTTTCAGACAAAGAAGTTGTTTTAATAAACAAAAGGTATAACTATATAAAAGGAAAAATAAAACTGTCCTTATTCACAAATGACACGATTATGTCCCCAGGAAATTCAAAAGGAGCTCCAGGTTAGTAATTAGAATGAGTAAATTTAGTAAGATCACAGAGTACAAGGTGAACATAAAAATTAATGACATTTTTATATACCAGCAACAAATAACTACAAAATAAATAATATTCATCAAGTTTTACCTTATGATTTACATACTTTTTAAAATATATCTTATACTTCAATAAATTTTTATTTTAAAAATATCACATAGGCAAAATAATCTCAATAGTTATCTGGGTCTTTAGAAATTGAATGTGATTAAAGCCATTCCTTTAATTAGTCCAGAACACATTCCAATCATTTAAAAAAGGTTAAAATAATTTCTAGGTACAAGTTGGGTTAATATCTTTCCTGCGGTAGGTTATTTAATGGGATTTATTTTACTGAACTCAAGGTTACGAGAAAATAATCTGACCAGAAATTTAGTTCCTCATACAACTATTATACTTTAAAACACACACACACACACACACACACTATACAAAGCAGATTAGGAAACACTGCTTTTATTTTATTTATTTACTTATTTTTGTTGTTCTTAATTGTCACCTAAGGATATTTTTCCATTGATTTTTTTAGAAAGAATGGAAGGGATGGGGGGCAGGGAGAGGGGAGAGAAAGAGAGAGAGAGAGAGAGAGAGAGAGAGAGAGAGAGAGAAACATTGATGTGAGAGAGGCACATCTATTGGTTGCTTCCCACACACACCCTGGCCTGGGATTGAGCCTGCAACTGAGGTGGATGCTCTTGACCAGAATTAAACCCAGGACCCTTCAGTCTGTAGGCTGACGCTCTATCCATTGATGAGGCAAATCTAGGGCCGATTATACATTTTAAAAAGAAGACATAATAAGAAGTACATTTTTCCTTCTTTTTCTTAAACAATTCAACATTATTATATTGACTTTATTCTAATACTTTTTTTTTTCATTTTTGCTAAAACAAATGAGAGAGAGAAAAGGAGGCCAGGGCCTCCCTTCCCCGGCTGCCGGCCGGGGACTTCCTTCATTTCGAGCCACCCTCTGGTGGTCAGTGCAAGTCATAGTGAGCAATGGAACTCCTGGTCTCCTGGTCGAACTCCTGCGGGGACACTTTGCATATTAGCCTTTTATATATATAGATATTTAAATAACACTATATTAAACCCATGCAAGATGTGAGGAAAATTGAACTAGAAGGTTTCCAGCTCTGCTTCAAAAAGCCGTGCGACAATGCCGTTTAATCCTCCTTGTATTAATTTCCTCATCTGTAAAAAATGTCCATGATTGCCCTAGCTGGTTTGGCTCAGTGGATAGAGTGTTGCCCTGCAGACTGGAGCGTTCCGGGTTTGATTCCGGTCAAGGGCACATGCCTGGGTTGGAGGCTCGATCCCCAGTAGGGGGTGTGCAGGAGGCAGGTGATCAATGATTCGCTCTCATCATTGATATTTCTGTCTCTCTCTCCCTCTCTGAAATCAGTAAAAATATATTTTTAAAAAATGTCTATGATTGCCTGGCCGGCGTGGCTCAGTGGTTGAGCATCGACCTATGAACCAGGAGGTCATGGTTTGATTCCTGGTCAGGGCACATGTCTGGGTTGTGGGCTTGATCCCCAGTGTGGGGCGTGCAGGAGGCAGCCCATCAATGATTCTCTCTCATCATTGATGCTTCTTCTATCTCTCCTTCTCCCTTCCTCTCTGAAGTCAATAAAAATATTTTTTAAAATGTCTATGATTATATGACTAAGTACCTTTAAATATATCATATACATTAGGTATTTAGTTGAATAACTTATATTTCTATACAATCATTTTACAAGATTCTTTACTTTATAGAATAATCAGTAATTATTAGGGGTATAAGTCCAGCACTATTAATTAGTACAAATGTAATCCCATTACTGATCAAACTAAATAAGAAAGCAGCTATTAACTGTGAATCTGAGTGGAACAAGCTTCTTTCTCCATAGATGACCAAGTGTAAAATCACATTATGTCGAATCTATGTTTGAAGAAATGTTGTGGGAATTATAGGGACGCAGGGTTATCTCTGGTAGACTAGTCCAAATCTTTTAGTGGAAAATTTTGCTTCACTATCTTTGACTAAAACTTGAAACTATTTCCAGAGACCTTAAATTTCCTACAAGCAGTCTCACTTTGAATGTTTACCATCTCTGTGAAGGGACTTTTCTACTTTGTGTGCCTAGAGCAATAAAAATTCAAGCAAACAGGATACAGCCTCAATGGTGCCAAAGAAAAGAAAAGGCTGCCTTTCAAACAGCAACTCTCACTGGGCCAGAGGTAGGAGGTGGAAGACCAGGGATGGAGCGGAAAGGAATGTTTTCATTTACAAGAGAAGAAAATGACCCACAAACTGGGAGGGAAAAATAACACAGAACTGGACAAAAAGGGAAAAAGTAATACACTTAGTACCAAACCCAAATATTGGATTTCAGTGGCTGGGGAACATTTCTTCTTCTATTTAATGCAGGAAATAAAATAAATGAGTAAAATTTATATCTGGAATTCATAAACATAAGATTAATTGACCAGATTCAGCCTAAATCTAGAAGTGAAGTCCAGCATCTTGTATCCAGTGGAAACCATATATTCTTAAACTCCCAGGATGGATGTGTGTAAGTTTGGCTGCCTGTCATCACAAAAACCAAACCCAGAGGCCAGAGAAAAAGGAGACAGGTTTATTTAAGTGCCGGTTACCTGAGAGGATGGGGATCTCTTGTCCAGAGCCCATCTCTACACCACAGTGCAGGCAGAGGCTTTTATAAGGAGGGAGAGGGAACGCAGGACAAAGAAATCAAGGGAAAGGGTTGAAAAGTTCTCTGCATGCAGATCAGCACAGTCCACTCTGATAAAGATCTTGAAACTGGTCAAGTGATGGCCTGGTGTTTGTCATCCTGGTTTTACCTTATATCCTGGTTTTACAGTTGAAGGTCAGCAATTCTCCTAGAGTTACGATGACTAAAGGTCAGAGTCTGCATCTTCTGAAGTTAGTTCCTAGGACTCTTATACACACACTAGAGGCCCGGTACACGAAATTTGTGCATGGGGGTGGGGGTGTCCCTCAGCCCAGCCTGCACCCTCTCTAATCTGGGACCCCTCGGGAAATGTCCGACTGCCGGTTTAGGCCCAATCCCTGTGGACATCCCTCTGGCAATCCAGGACCACTGGCCCCTAACTGCTCACCTGCCTGCCTGCCTGATCACCCCTAACTGCCTCTGCCTGCTGGTGGCCTGATGCTAACTGCTCTCCCCTGCAGGCCTGATCGCCCCCTGACTGCTCTCCTGCCGGCCTGATCACCCCTAACTGCCCTCCCCTGCTGGCCTGATCACCTCCTAACTGCTCTGCCCTGCCCGTCTGATTGCCCCTAACCACCTCTGTCTCGACCCCTGCCACGGTGGCTTTGTCCGAAAGGATGTCCAGAAGATGTCCGGTCTAATTAGCATATTACCCTTTTATTAGTATAGATGCTGTTTATCTACAAGATACATATTAGTCGGAGTCAGCATTTGCAGAAACAACGTCGAAAGAATGGTGGGGGGGTTACAATCCCCAGTTACATGAGCAGCCCATGCAGTTGTGTGACCCCGACTGGAAGGGCCATGCTTGCCACGATGCTTTGCTCTCTCTGTTTCGATAGCCTTGATGTTGTTGTTGTTGATCCTCACCCGAGGATATTTTTCAGTTGATTTTTTAGAGAGAGTGGAAGGGAGGGAGGGGGAGAGAGAAAGAGAACATTGATGTGAGAGATCTATCTGTTGCCTCCCACACACACCCCGACGGGGGCTGGGAACAAACCTGCAATCTAGGTACATACCCTTGACTGGGACTCGAACCCGAGATCCTTTGGTCTGCAGGCCGATGCTCTAACCACTGAGCAATGCCAGCCAGGGTGATAGTCTTAACAATTATTAAGAAGGGCCCCCCAGTTTTTATTTTGTACTGGGCCCTACAAATTTCAAAACTGGTCCTGATGCTAGGCTCTGAACTTTACAAGTGTTTCATTTTACCCTCAGCAACTCCGTATTCAGGATATTCTTCCCTTAGGCCCGTGGTCAGCAAACTACGGCTCGCGAGCCACATGCGGCTCTTTGGCCCCTTGAGTGTGGCTCTTCCTAAGCCTTGGGAGTACCCTAATTAAGTTAATAACAATGTACCTATCTATATAGTTTAAGTTTAAAAAATTTGGCTCTCAAAAGAAATTTCAATTGTTGTACTGTTGATATTTGGCTCTGTTGACTAATGAGTTTGCCGACCACTGCCTTAGACTAACTATCATATTCCAGGATGTGATGTTCTTTTCCTCATGTCTCACTCTAAACTTCCCTGTGGACTCACTGAAGTTAATAATAATACCGCCTGTTCCTCTGTGAGTTCCTCGCACACAGCAGGGTAGATATCTTAAGCAATCACTTCTTTGTTGTATGAATAAATGAATGAGTCAGCAAAGGAACAAACTATTTCTATACAACGGTACATCTCTAAAATGATAAGATACTGCCTTGAGCATCTTAGACATCCAAGAATAACAGGCTTTGCTTATACAAAGAATGAAATGTGAGTGGTAAAGACTCTTCAATTCGTTAAATCAAATGACCAGATGTGGGACGTGACCAGATCGCGGCATCAGGAATGTGACAGCCTCATGGCTGGACATCAGTCAGACACGGCCCCCGTGGGTGGATGTTCCTACACGCGCTGCATTTAGAAACTGACCCCAGGAGGCCCAACACTCCTTACAGCATCTCCTGAGGGTGTGGCGCGGGCTAGTGACTGGACAAGCAGGCCTCCGGGGGCCTGGGTTGAAGTCCCGGGTCTACAACTTCACAGGTGGGGGGCTCTGAGCAAGTCATGTGATAGAGCGTGCCTCCATGTCACCCCAGACATAGGCATGTTAACAGGACCAGCTCCTAATGTTGTTGTGAGGGTCTATGAGATAATCCGTCAAGCCGTGGCACTGGGCACCACACAGGAACTGGTTAGATGCCGACGCTCAGGACACGCCCTGGTGTCTCAATTAGCACCTGCACTTCAACAGGGGCCCACGGTGAGCAGCACTTCCAACAGCAGCCGGTGCACGGTGCCCTGTCCTGCTGTCATCGCTAGTTGTCCTTCTGAGGTTCCATGCTCAGGGGCACCTACATGAGGATCCAGTTCCTGGTTCAATGCTAAGAGTAACGCCGACCCAGGCCCTCTCGTGAGCCCTGGGTGACTGACATGGACCATCAGGGCAGCAGGAGCATGGGCTGGGCTAGTTGCTGGGAAGTTAGGACTCACAGGCCACAGGATGCACGCAGGTGGAGTGGAGATGGTGGGGTGGGGGACGTGGAGGGGACATCGTAAGCAGGGAAACGTGAGCAACGACAAAGCAAAGGCAAGAAATGATAGTGACAATCTCCAGGTGCAGGGAGAGATTAGTTTAGTCCCAAACTGAGAGTACATACAACAGGTCTTCGCACAAATCCGTGGTCTCTGAATGGAAATGCTTGTCTCAGAGGTCAAAAACTGAAAGCCATGCTAAGAACACAGCATAACACGCCAGTAAAATGATGAATTAAGTTGGTTTTCTATGTTCCAGTAGATACATTTGGAAATCAATTTATTCTTTTTCTTTTCATTCCCCACAGAGTTGCCACCCCATTCGGAGGTTTTGAAAAAGCATCAAAAATGGTGAAATTCAAGGTCCCAGATTTTGAGCTACTACTTCTAACAGATTCCAGGTTCATGGCCTTTGCCAACCCGCTATCTGGCAGACGGTCCTTCAACAGGACTCCTAAGGGGTGGATCTCGGAGAACATCCCCATAGTGATCACCACCGAGGCCCCCGAGGAGCCCGCCGTCCCAGAGTCGGAAGACCTGTGAGCGGACCGCCGCGAAGGCCGCTGGGACCGCACACACATGTCGCTTCTGTTATTCCACTTGCTGGCAAAGCCACTCGCACTCTTCAGCAGCAGCAGCAGCAGCAGCTCAATAGTCACTTAGCAATGTTCCTCTTACGGCATTTAATTCCCACCCCGGAGCAAATACTAATAAACAACCCGTAATCTTGTTTTAAACACTTTTAGCTCGCTTGTGTTCATTCCTCACTTTGTTTTCGCGTGTGGTCCAAACAATCCCGCCTTCAACTGGGGAAGCCCAGATCGGACAAAAGGGTCCACCCTTTCTCCTTTCACATGAGCTAGTCCCAAATCCAGCTTTGCAAGTGGCATCTAGGATCAACACGCAGTGGAGATGTTCAGACGCATTCCGGGCGGGATTTAAGGGGTTGGGGGGGAGGGAGGAGGCTGGGCTGGGCCCTTCCTGGTGACCACGGACCACAGCGTGTCTGGATGGAGTCTTTGCATGAGACATCTGACCGTTTCTAAGGGCCCTGTCTCCTTCTGCATGCTCTGAGTCACGCGGTAATTATCCCAGACATTCTCCAGAGTTCAACTGGGTTGTTACACCGGCTTAACATTCCACCAAGGAGACTGAGACCATGACTCAGGGAACCCTGCTGCCTGGTTTTAAAGGCCGAGGTTACCTGCCATTCGAGTTCCTCACACCCCAGTGCTGTGTGCCCATGAGGTTCAACTTGACCTGTTTTTTTTGACTCCTTTTAGGAGTGTGCAAACAAATACAATGCACGCTGCTATACCTCTAAGCCAGGGGTGGGCAAACTTTTTGACTTTCAGGGCAGCAGGAGCATGGGCTGGGCTAGTTGCTGGGAAGTTAGGACTCACAGGCCACAGGATGCACGCAGGTGGAGTGGAGATGGTGGGGTGGGGGACGTGGAGGGGACATCGTAAGCAGGGAAACGTGAGCAACGACAAAGCAAAGGCAAGAAATGATAGTGACAATCTCCAGGTGCAGGGAGAGATTAGTTTAGTCCCAAACTGAGAGTACATACAACAGGTCTTCGCACAAATCCGTGGTCTCTGAATGGAAATGCTTGTCTCAGAGGTCAAAAACTGAAAGCCATGCTAAGAACACAGCATAACACGCCAGTAAAATGATGAATTAAGTTGGTTTTCTATGTTCCAGTAGATACATTTGGAAATCAATTTATTCTTTTTCTTTTCATTCCCCACAGAGTTGCCACCCCATTCGGAGGTTTTGAAAAAGCATCAAAAATGGTGAAATTCAAGGTCCCAGATTTTGAGCTACTACTTCTAACAGATTCCAGGTTCATGGCCTTTGCCAACCCGCTATCTGGCAGACGGTCCTTCAACAGGACTCCTAAGGGGTGGATCTCGGAGAACATCCCCATAGTGATCACCACCGAGGCCCCCGAGGAGCCCGCCGTCCCAGAGTCGGAAGACCTGTGAGCGGACCGCCGCGAAGGCCGCTGGGACCGCACACACATGTCGCTTCTGTTATTCCACTTGCTGGCAAAGCCACTAGCACTCTTCAGCAGCAGCAGCAGCAGCTCAATAGTCACTTAGCAATGTTCCTCTTACGGCATTTAATTCCCACCTCGGAGCAAATACTAATAAACAACCCGTAATCTTGTTTTAAACACTTTTAGCTCGCTTGTGTTCATTCCTCACTTTGTTTTCGTGTGGTCCCGACAATCCCGCCTTCGACTGGGGAAGCCCAGATCGGACAAAAGGGTCCATCCTTTCTCCTTTCACACGAGCTAGTCCCAAATCCAGCTTTGCAAGTGGCATCTAGAATCAACACGCAGTGGAGATGTTCAGACGCATTCCGGGCGGGATTTAAGGGGTTGGGGGGGAGGGAGGAGGCTGGGCTGGGCCCTTCCTGGTGACCACGGACCACAGCGTGTCTGGATGGAGTCTTTGCATGAGACATCTGACCGTTTCTAAGGGCCCTGTCTCCTTCCGCACGCTCTGAGTCACGCGGTAATTATCCCAGACATTCTCCAGAGTTCAACTGGGTTGTTACACCGGCTTAACATTCCACCAAGGAGACTGAGACCATGACTCAGGGAACCCTGCTGCCTGGTTTTAAAGGCCGAGGTTACCTGCCATTCGAGTTCCTCACACCCCAGTGCTGTGTGCCCATGAGGTTCAACTTGACCTGTTTTTTTTGACTCCTTTTAGGAGTGTGCAAACAAATACAATGCACGCTGCTATACCTCTAAGCCAGGGGTGGGCAAACTTTTTGACTTGAGGGCCACAATGGGTTCTTAAACTGGACCGGAGGGCCGGAACAAAAGCATGGATGGAGTGTTTGTGTGAACTAATATAAATTCAAAGTAAACCTAAGCAGATGTATATGTGAGAGGGAGAGAGAAATTTGAATTGGTCTTTGTCTTTAATGAATCCTTAAATTCTGTTCAAATCCTTAAGCACTAGGGAGTATCTACACTAATAAAAGAGAAACATGGTAATTAGCGTACGACCACTACCCTTTTCATTGGCTAATCAGTGAGTATATGCAAATTAACTGTCAGCCAAGATGGCAGCCGGCAGCCAGGCACTGAAGCGAGCAGGGCTCGATCCCCAGTGTGGGGCATGCAGGAGGCAGCCGGTCCATGGTTCTCTCTCATCAGTGATGTTTCTCTCTCTCGCCTTTCCTCTCTGAAATCAATTTAAAAAAAACCCACACACAACACAGCAGAACACTAAAACCTCTGAAAATAACGTTACACACATCCGCCATTAAGTTTGTGAATACACTGGAATAGAAGACTCAAACTAACATAAAGTTACAGATACGTCTCAAAATATGATCGAGGAAGCACAGAACTGGTAGGCAATAAACACCAGTTCTTCCCTTTTGAACTCAGTGAAGAGTTCTGTGATAGAGGGTGAAATGGAGAACATCCCACCCGCAGAAAACTACCTAAGACTAAGCCCAGGAGGTGGAAGAGGGAGTGTGCACAGCGGAGGAAGGAAAATGCATGCAGCCACCCTGGTTGTTTACAAAGAATCTGTCCATCGCGCTGAGACTCGTGGTTGTCTTAGTCACTCTCCAGTCTTTTAAGTAAATTAAAAAAAAATTTAATGAAAAATGCAATCCCTAGAAATGATATCAATATATTATAGCCATACATATTGTCATTGGTATAAGTTAAATAATTGGTCATTGGTATCATTTAAAATATAACTTGAATATGTATTATTTTACTTATGTTTTGGTGTTTACCTGTTTTATTAAAATAATTTGGCACCTGTGATAAACGCTAGGTACGAGGCTCCCATCACACCATTTTTTTTTGTTCATTTTAACCTCTTAAAAACAAAAATTACTCATATTCTATTAGGCATTTGCTGAAATGGTTTTGTTTTCATGGGCAGTTTGAAATGAGTTACTATTTTTCATTAAATTGGAATTTGATTGCATGGTTTTAACTACCACCAAGTGGATCACCATTCCATCAACCACCCAAAGGGAGCCAACCATGAGCCGTGTCAGCTACAGAACAGGCCCCCCAGCACCACGGAGCAGACGCTAAAAGGAAGAAGCTAAGTGTGTTTTTTAAGATGAGGCAGAAAAGGATGGCCCACCCTCAGGTCACCACTGCATTTCCCTTCCCTGCAAGTGGCTGTTCATCTCGCTCAGCTGTCTGACACCTTTAGAAGGGCCAACGTTTCACACTCCACTTGCTGTGCAATTACGATTTCAAAGGCATTTTTATTGGGTTTTCCACGGACCTGAAAAGCAGCAACATATTTCCGAGTCTGAAGAAATACTACAGTCTGTTCAGAGCAGCAGAAAGACTGGGGGATCTATTCCCCGCCAATGTCACGGGTGAAACGTGGAATAAAGGGGTCAGGACATGAAGAGAACAAGTGAGGGGGTGAGAGTACATGTTGGTGGACTACTGGATGCCAAGCACAAGACTCACTGCTTTAGAAAGGCTCACTGAGATCTATTTGAACATTTCACTTGCACAATCACCCTGTGGGAAGGTATTCAAAATAAGCTCCGTTTTACCTAAGAAGATCGAGCCTCAGAGAACTGAGGTGATTCACCTGATTCTGGCTCAAAATGGGGAGAACTTGGCAAGTCTGACTGAAAAATAGGTAAGAACTCTCGATCCCCAGTGTGGGGCATGCAGGAGGCAGCCGGTCCATGGTTCTCTCTCATCAGTGATGTTTCTCTCTCTCGCCTTTCCTCTCTGAAATCAATTTAAAAAAAACCCACACACAACACAGCAGAACACTAAAACCTCTGAAAATAACGTCCACCATGAAGTTTGTGAATACACTGGAATAGAAGACTCAAACTAACATAAAGTTACAGATACGTCTCAAAATATGATCGAGGAAGCACAGAACTGGTAGGCAATAAACACCAGTTCTTCCCTTTTGAACTCAGTGAAGAGTTCTGTGATAGAGGGTGAAATGGAGAACATCCCACCCGCAGAAAACTACCTAAGACTAAGCCCAGGAGGTGGAAGAGGGAGTGTGCACAGCGGAGGAAGGAAAATGCATGCAGCCACCCTGCTTGTTTACAAAGAATCTGTCCATCGCGCTGAGACTCCTGGTTGTCTTAATCACTCTCCAGCCTCTTAAGTAAATTAAAAAAAATTTAATGAAAAATGCAATCCCTAGAAATGATATCAATATATTATAGTCATACATATTGTCATTGGTATAATTTAAATAATTGGTCATTGGTATAATTTAAAATATAACTTTAATATGTATTATTTTACTTATGTTTTGGTGTTTACCTGTTTTATTAAAATAATTTGGCACCTGTGATAAACGCTAGGTACGAGGCTCCCATCACACCATTTTTTTTTGTTCATTTTAACCTCTTAAAAACAAAAATTACTCATATTCTATTAGGCATTTGCTGAAATGGTTTTGTTTTCATGGGCAGTTTGAAATGAGTTACTATTTTTCATTAAATTGGAATTTGATTGCATGGTTTTAACTACCACCAAGTGGATCACCATTCCATCAACCACCCAAAGGGAGCCAACCATGAGCCGTGTCAGCTACAGAACAGGCCCCCCAGCACCACGGAGCAGACGCTAAAAGGAAGAAGCTAAGTGTGTTTTTTAAGATGAGGCAGAAAAGGATGGCCCACCCTCAGGTCACCACTGCATTTCCCTTCCCTGCAAGTGGCTGTTCATCTCGCTCAGCTGTCTGACACCTTT